ATAGATAGATAGATAGATAGATAGATATAGATAGATAGATAGATAAAAGATAGACATACCTGTATATATTTTTATTCATGAGTCCATGTCAACATTTCCTATTTAAATTTAATATTATAGTTTAATATTACAAGTCTTTTGCCATCACATATTTTAAAGGAAGAATGAACAGAAGTGAGTAATGATTAGGACACTGGCAAGGAAAAGAAAAGGTCAGGAACGGCTCCCTAAGTTCCCATCTGACAACCTGAGCCCTAATGGCTGCTGCTGTGGCTGCCATTGCATCAAGATGGTAAGTAAGAAACAGGAGAAAAAAACCTGGGGTTGGGTGTCCAGGGTGAGAAATCAGTTATATATATATAGTTCATTGTTTTATTTTATAACTTATAAAATTAAAGGATCTATTTAATACCTGACACACACACAGATGAGTCAGCGACAAGACAATGATTTTACATAGGTGTAGAAATATAAGCTATATGTAAGTACCAGTCAAGATTCATCTAACATTGGCTACCCTATAAACAGTAATAATAAAATCACTCTACCCTAATAAGTAGATGAAGCTTGACACTTGACTATGACTTATTAAGGAAAGAATAGGTAACTCAAAAAAAGGAGAAAAGAAAAAAATGAAGGTGAAGATCTTTGGGGAAGTAGAGGAGAAAACTTACAACAACTTTGGATTTAAAACATGGTACAGTAGCTCACTGCCATAACAAACTACCACAGATTGGATACCTTAAACAACAGAAACGTATTTTCTCACAGTTCTGGTGGCTAGTTCAGGGTCAAGGTGTTAAAAAGTTTTCTTCTGAGGCCTCTCTCCTTGGCTTGCTGTTGGCCGCCTTCTTGTTTCTCTACATGGTCATCCCTCCATCTATGTGTACATGTCAATCTTGTCTTCTTACAAGGACACCAGTCGGACTGTATTAGGGCCCATCGATATGATCTCATTTTACCTTAGTTACGTTTTTAAAGGTCCTATCTCCAAATTGTCACATTCTGAGGTACTAGGGTTTAGGACTTGAACATATAAACTTGGGGAGGACACAATCCAGTACATAACACATGGGATTTTAAAAGAGCTATGCGATAGAATGAAGATACATGCCTGAGAAAGTTAACAACTATTCTCAATGGCTGGATCTCATTTATGACTGGGCAAAGACAGTTCAGGAGCAGTATTAGTTCACAATGGCTTGAGCAAGTTAGAGATGATGATTATATGATGAGCCACACACTTATCCACATTTCCATGGTCGATAATGAACATACACAGAGAAAATTAGAGACAGAAGTATATATCCACTTCATTTCTGCCAAGATTTTCTAGGCTTTGAGCTTGAGTCATTATGCTTAGCTTGCTTTCTGCCAGGGGGTTGGCATTTTAGTCATTGCTTTTTTCTTTTTCTTTCAGGACAAGTAACCCTGTGCCAACTGACTCATCCAGTACCAGCCTTAACTGTCACAAATGACATGGGAGTGGCAGGTTCCATCTATCTTAGTATAGGAAAAAATTAAAGAAGAGGAAATCAAGTTTATTTAAAGAATACTAGAAGATTGACACTTTTACAAATGGGGAAAACAAAGGCCAAAGTCAGCGCTGGTGAGCTGACTTGCCCAGGGACTTGGGGACTTGTTCAGCTAGTTGGGGACACAGCGAGGGCTCCCTCTTTTGACCCTTATCCAGTGTTCTTTCTACTTCACCACTACTAAGTAGGCCTGGCTTTAATTTTTCTGTTTAAAAATATTCTTGGAAATATTGCTTATGAATGATTGCTTACCAAAGAACATTCTCATATAGTTGTTAAGAGTACAGACTGGTCAAACAAGCCTGTATTTGATTCTGTTTTGTTTTTTTAAATATATTTTATTAATTATGCCATTACAGTTGTTCTATTCCCCCCCCTTCATTCCCCTCCACCCTGCACACCCCTCCCCCATATCATTTACTACTACATAGCCTTGAACATGTTGTCTAACCTCTTAAAGCCTTGATTGGATTAAAGCCTATCCTCAACAGTGGAATGGGGATAATAATAGCACCTACCTGAAAGAAAGGCCCTGAGAACTTTAACTTAAAGTTTTTTTTTAAAAAGTAAATATTCGTGTTAACATTCATTATAAATACCCTAAAACTTTTAAGAATTCAACTTTTCCATTCTGATCTCCTAGGTAAACATGAAGCAAAAATAAATGAGTAAACAAACAAACCTCTTTAGTGAGACATCTCTCCATTTCACAGCTAAGAGAATGTTTATAACAATGTTTGGACCTGGAAGTAGAGCACAAGGGCACAGAAACAAGTATAACAACTGAAAAAAAGGTTTCACAACTCTAAAGACGGAAAAACACAGTCTCAGGAGAAAACCAGAATCTCCGAGGCAGTAGATAGAGTAAGAGCAAAAGAAGTTCTGAAACAAAAGAGTGAGCGTGGGAAAAAAGAAAATATATTATCAGATCTACAAGCTCAACAAAAGCATTGGTGCTTGCCAGCACTGAAAGAGACTACTTTCCAGATAAAAGAATCGACTTAAGACGCCCAAAGAAAAGTTATTTCTAGCAAAAAAGACTTCTTGTCTTTCAGAGCCTGGGATCCCTTAATGTGAAGAGGTTTGTTCTGATGTAGAGTCATGTGAGGAACTGGTCATTAAATCTTAAGGGGCCTGCTTTGCTGGCTGCCATAAAACAACAGGTAGTCACAGAGCCCATGCACTTGAGCTGGTTGCTATGCTAATTTTTTTTAAATGGTGATTTCTTCCAAGAGTTGGGTTCCAGGGCCCTGCTGGAAAGCCTATCATTCAAAATTAATGAAATGCTATTAGTACTTTAAACTATCTCATTGTGCACATGGGAAACTTTAGCTTCAGTTGAAGTAATAGAGCATTTTAGAATGCATGTGTAGTACAAGGGATACTTGCTTAAAAGGCTATTTATTTTCATCAGTCTTTATTGCCTCAAAGGGCAAAAAGCAAGACCCAAAAGTAAAAGCACAAACTGAATTTATCCACAAAGCATATAGAGAAGACAAACCCAGAGGGACTCTTTGGAACAGACGTCTACAGCGTCTCCAGTTGAAGTGAAGGAGAAAAATTCACTTCTTTGCTTTGCTAAAATGGTCACCGATGAGCCAGAGCCAGCCATACTTTTTGTTCATGCTTTTCCTGTTTATTTGAATTCTTGTCTAAGAGCTGCATTGGGAACATTTTGCAAGGCAACCTGGCAGTATTTATAAAGCAAGACCCATATCATATATTTGCTGCATTTAGAAAGTATTTCTAAAGTAAGACTCACATACAGGCTGTCTACGAGAGGCTCACCTAAGGACAAAGGAGACACACAAACTAAAAGTAAAGGGATAGAGGAAGATATTTCATGCAAACGAAAATAGAAGAAAAAGCTGGGGTAGCAATACTTACATCTGACAAAATGGACTTTAAAACAAAGGCTATAGAAAGAGACAAAGACAGACACTACATAGTGATAAAGGTAGCGATCCGACAAGAAGATACAACTCTGGTAAATATTTATGCTCCCAACATAGGGGCACCTAAATATATAAAGCAAATCTTGATGGACATAAGGGGAGAGACTGACAGAAATACAGTCATAATAGGGGATTTTAACACAGTATTAACATCAATGGGTAGATCTTCTAGACAAAAACAAGAAAGTTTAATGTGATTATCCTTTAAAAATTTATTTTTTACTCTCACCAAGAACATTTTTCATTGCTTTTTTGAGAGAAAAGAAGGGAGAGAGGAAAGGAAATAGAGAAATATTAATGCAAGCAAGAAGCATCAATTGGTGCCTCCTGTACATGTTGATACCTGTACTGATGATCATACATGCCCAGACCAGAGATTGTATGTATCCAGAAGAGGGACAGAATATGTAGCTGAGGCAAGTGCCCTGACCAGGATTGAACCTGCTACCCATCAGTTATGGAACAATGCTCCAACCAGCTAAACCACAGAGGCCAGGGCTAATGTGATTGTCCTTTGACCCAGTACTTACACTTTTTTGAAACTTCCCTATAGAAATTCTATCAAAGTATTTGAAAATACAAGTATGAGAAAACCCCATGGTCTGAAATACTGTAAATTGAAAATAATGTACATGTTCATCAAAATGGACTCATTAAATAAATCACAATTTAGCCACATACCCAGCCTGGAGTCAAACCACCTGAGACTGAGTTCCCATTCAAATACTAACACTAATAGTAATAGTGGCCACATGTAGCTGTTTCTTATTGCAGCATTCAAATTACTGCAGTGTTAGAGTTGTAAAACAACACAAGTTTATTTATTTATTTATTTGAAAAGATTTTATTTATTTATCTTTAGAGGGGAAGGGAAGGAGATAGGGAAAGGAATATCAGTGTATGGTTGCCTCTCATGCACCCCCTGCTGGGAACTGGCCTGCAACCCATGTGTTTTGACTGGGAATCGAACTGCAATCCTTTGGTTCACAGGCCTGCGCTCAATCCACTGAGCTACACCAGCCAGGGCCAAGTTTATTATCTTACAGTTCAGTAAGTTAAAGATCCACAGTGGGTCTCCTGGGGCTAACATCCATGTGTCTGAAGGCTTGAGGTCCTTCTTATAGTTTAGGAATTTCATTCCTTGGTCATTCAAGTGTTGGCAGAACCCAATTCCATCTTGTTGTAAGGGCTGAGGTTTCTCTTTCCCTGCTGATGGCTAGCTGAGGGCTGCCTTTAGTTCCTAGTCCTTACACACAGATCCTTGTATTTCAAAACCAGAAAGGGGGCACTGAATCCTTCTCCCCCTGCCATCTCTCTGACCCTGTTTCCACCATCACATTCCTCTAACCCAGCAGGAAAATGTTCCACTTCTAAGGACTCAAGTATTAGATAGTCCAGGACAATCTCCCCATCTCTAGGTTTTAACTTAATCCCATCTACAAAGTCTCTTTTGTCAGGTAAAGTAACACATTCTCGGGTTCCAGGGATTTGGACATGGACATCTTTGGGGGTCATTTAACTCATACCTCTGTAAGCCTCAGGTTCCTCATCTCCAAAATGGTGCTTTTTTCCACATGTGTTTTCTGTAAATTATAGATAAAATAAGCTCTTGGCACACAGTAATAACTCTACAAATATTAGAGATCATCATTGCTGTGTATGCATAACAAAACTGAGACAGCACCATATTACTGGCATAGAGAGATGTCAAAAGATACTTTTGAGAAAAATAAACTATAGAAGAACATGTATAGTATAGCCATTTTTTTGTAAAAGAAGGAAATGGGAAAAATAGATGTTTGTATTCACATACGGAAAAAAATGTTTAGATGGATACCAAGAGATTGAAATTGAGAATGTGAGTACAGACTTGGAATTTTTAAAATAATGTGTATTTTAAAATCTAAAGTGGTAACATTAGGAAAATAAGTGGTGTGTATTATCCAGATCAGTGCGGAAACAAAAAGGAAATAAAGAAACAATTAGTCATAAAATGACTATGAAGAAGAAAAAAAGCATTGAAAAATGCTTGTTTTGGTAAACAAAAAATTCTAAGTAAGATGCTAGAAATAATTACAAACATCTCAATAGTCACAATACATGTAAATAGATTATATTATATTTTTTATTAAAATACAGAGTTCCTCAGATTGGAGAAAATAAAGTCTAGATTGTGAAGACACCATTCAGGTAAAATTTAAAGCACAAATATTAATATATACATTGATTATTGACAGGTACACATTTAATAAAAGTATAGGAGTGGAGATGAGAAGTAAAGTGTCAATTTAAGGATTATGGTTGCTTCTGGGAAGAAAAGGAGAAAGAGAGTGTGAGAGAAGGTTGCAAAAGGCATAGCGATTATCTGTTATATTTTCTTTCTTTCTAACAGAAATCAAGTATCTAAAATATATGACAGGTTATTTGCCCTTTAAAATCCTGGTTTGTTATGTTCTCTACTTTTCTGTGCATATAAAATACCTTTACAGTTTTTTTTTTAAAAGAACTGTACTGAGAAGTTAGGGATAGGGGTGAGGCCCTGATGGCACATGTATTTTGGGTTGTAGAAAACATCCTAAAATTTTAAAGGTAAACTCGAAATTAGGGTAGACAAAATTGTATACCCATTTCCTGTTCATCAGTTAAGGTTAACCATCTACTGAACACTCAAACTAGGTTAAGGATGACACTGTTTGAAAATGCCCAAAATATGTACATGAACATGCTTAAGAAGACTTAAACAGAAACATGCAGTCTGATTTAGTAAGTTCTTTAAATGTCATCAAGAAACAAAGGAACAATTGGAATAATGACTAAATTTCTAGAAATTTAATTTTGAGCCACATTCTGAAAAAGGGGATCATGGATTTCTAAGAGGAGACAATTCAGAGAGAAAAATGGCCCATGCTGAGGCACAAAGAAGGGATCTCATCAGCAGAATGCAGGGGACGATAGTAGATTAAAGTGGCTTGAGCAAATTTCCTTCCTGAAATTTTAAAAAGTTATGAAAACAGATATAGGTAGGTATTTACTTGAACATAAGCACAGAAAAAATAAATGCTGATATACAATTAAATAGAAAATATAGGCTAAATATAGGAAATATAGGAAAATAGGTCTGGCATCGCAGATTTACACTGACTTTGACAATCCCCTTGGGGATTTCTGAGTGGCTCTGAAAGAATGAAGGGGGACACGGATGAGAACCATGACTGAGCCTCAGTCCTGTTCCATTGGAAGTGTTAGAATTAGCTCTCTAGAGTTAGGCTTTAATTGATTAACACAGATAAATATCCCTCCCTCAAAAGGACAATCTATTTTGAAAATATCCCATTTAATGTCATCAAAATATTCTAACATTTGGCTAAATTCATCTTTTTGCCTTCAAATTAATTTGAGCAAAAGGCTCAACCTAATTTCTGTTGAGGGGCCATAGGTGGCCATGACCACGCTTGGAAATTTGAGTCAGTCCGGATTTGTGGATGATAGCACAGAAGGTGTCACATGTGCCACCTGGCCAATCACCAGGTCCCGCTGCTTTTGTCTCCTCATCACCGCTCACAGCCTGACTCCCACCTCTGCTGTTCCAGATCTGGCTTCATGTCATTTTGCCCAAACACTGAGGCACTGCCCCCATGGCCTCCCGGCCATACTGGCTGCCAGAGTGATCCGCCCACCCCAGCTGCTGGCATACTCTGGCTGCCGCATGTCTCCGCTCAGTGCTCTCTCCTCCTCTGTAAATCCATATTCCCAACTTCCTCAGCCAGTGCACATGGTTCTCCTACAGCCTTGCTGCACTTTGAATAGACTCCTGAATAAGACTTGTCTTGTTTGGTTGCAATTGCATTCAACTGTCTCCCACTCTATCATAAGTCCCTGAAGGACGGAGACCATGTCTTAGTCCTTTTTATCTTGCCAGTAAATAGCAGCTTCTGGTACATTCTAGGCACAGTGAATGCTAGTGGATGTTGAGTGAATAAATTAGTGCTCTACCACTGATGTAGGGTAAAGAGATTGCCCAGTTAATCAGATCCATGATTTATCCCCCTCATTCCTGCTATATGTGGCAGCAGAGAAAAACCTTTCTCTCTAATCATGCCACATAATGCAATCCCATGAAGTCTGTGCATTTTGAGAGTAAAGGCTGAAGGACATTATTTTCTTTTATAAAATGAAAGACCTTGATTATTGGCACAGAGAGGATACTAGATTCATTAGAGAGGAGAGTGGTCCAGCAATTTTTCTGTGTTCTTGTAACTAATTACAGATGAGTGATTAAAGAAAATTAGTATCCATAAAAATCGACCACAAACCAATAAGGACGATGAGTTGAATCATAAAAATTCCATGCTATTTATATTCCCCCCACACACTCAGTGCATTTATTCTAAATGGAAAAGTACAAATATTGGGATAAAAACATTTAAACTACAGAAACAAGAAACTCTAAATGCTAATCCTGCCTTAAGGGCAGAATTTAATTCTGTGCTAAGCTACTGTATGTGGTATTAAGAGGCATGGTAAACCAAACATTTGAGAACAAGTAATTACACTGAATCTCTCTATCACATATTTGTTTCACACATAATTTATACAACAAGCCCACAGAGAAAAAACATAAAGTGCTGTTTGAAACAGTTTTTTCCAGCCACAAATTCTTCAGGCTTACTTTCTTTTTTCCTCATTGAAAATTATTTACTCCTATGGCCTTGGGTTGGATAGCAGTGGGATATTTTTTCTCTGTTGTGCAGGGACAAAGAAATAACATCCTTAACTTGTTATATTAACCTGTGTCCTTCCAGCCCATCTTGAGCATCTAAATGCTCAAGGTGGAGGTGCATGGTCCCTGAGGCTGGTTTATGTGATACTTTTAGAGGGGAATGGACTGTAAGGGGGAACATTTTCACTTACTCATTCATTTGTTCATTCAACTGGCATTTATGAACACCTGCTATGTGTCCAGAATTGTGCTGGCACATCTCAGGACACCAGTGAACAGATGGGGTACCCACCTTTGATGAGCTTGCATTCTAGCGGCAGAGACAATTAAACCAACAATCATAATGATAGAAGTACATATAGGGAGTTGTAGGGACCTGACACTTGTCCACGATGGTCAAGGAAGGCTTCAAGGAAGAAGTACTAAGCTGCCTCGTCAGTGGTGAGTGGGCCCTGACAGAGGGCAGGACAGTGGAAATTTCAAAGCTGAGGAAAGACCTGGGAGAGATGAGTGTGAGAGGGGAAATGGGAGCAGATGAAGCAGGACAATCCTTATTGCTGGAGCAGGGAAGATATTCATAAAGATATGGAGTCAAAGTCTCTAAGTAAAACTTTTCTGTGCTCAGAAGCTAAGTAACAGCTTCTCCAGCCCTCCTTTCCTTCTCTACCAGGGACACCTACAGTAAAGAGAAAAGCTGAGAGCTTGAGTATATTTAAGAGACACATTAAGCCCCTGTGCAGCAGTATCGTAGCTGGATTGATTCTGGCATTTGCCCTCCTGTTTGCATTTTGCATGAAGAGGAAGATATGTGCCATCAAACCATAACTCACCTGCAACTTCAGCCCAGCTCTGGCTGCATGTAATTCAGTATCTGGCAAGAGCCTGACCTGGAGCAAGGGATTGAACCTCATTGTCCCATGGCGCCTCATCATTAGAATAGGCTGCAGAGAGAATTAAATAAGTAATGGCATATAAAGTGCTCAGAACAGAGCCTGGCACAAAGCAAATGCTCCATAAATATTAACCTTTATTTTACTCTACACACAGGAAGATCCAATGAAGCTACTTGGCTAGTTATTTAAATAACCAGCACATCATTTACAGAAACTGGGCTCAGGAGTAAAGTGTTGTTGTTTAACGCCTTTGATGCTAACAAGAGATTAAGAAAGTTAACCCTGTGAATACAAAGGCTGAAATTTGACAGCCTTTCAAAAGAGTTACAATGGAATTTTTGTTTACATCCATTCATCAGGTGTTCATTATCCCCACATTCATTAAATGTGTACTGAGTGTCGGGCCTGAGGGTACAAAGATACCTGAGTAGGACTGAAAATCTATTATTCATTCAATACAGGCTTAGCAAGTGCCAAGAAAGTGCAAGTAAGCGCTGAGGATAAAACGATGCACCAGACTTTCCAGCAGAAGGTGATGTATGCTACAAAGAGGCAGGGATAATAATAAAAACCTTGGTTGAATGCTTTCTTTACCCCAGGCTCTGTACTTCGTGCCTTATCTGGATTATCTCCAAGTGCTGTGACAGTTGGGAGCATGGAGGCAGGGTTCCAAGGTGGGGTGATTGAAAACACGTCATGGAGGTGGGGGCATTAAAACAGTATCTCAGAAGATGCTTGACTCCTGGAGCATTACACCCTGGTTTTATGACCTAATGGGTCCAATGGCTTTTTCTAAAGATGTTTCTTAGTACAAAGGTTATTTTAAACAAAACGTCCTATAAAATGGGAGAGTTTCTGCTAAAAATGTCATCTGCTGACAAAATGGAACTACTACCATGGATAAGAATCTAGCTATTATTTAAAAATGAATAACTTCTGCCCTGGCTGGTGTAGCTCAGTAGATTGAGCACGGGACTATGAAGCAAAGGGTCACCGGTTCAATTCCCAGTCAGGGCACATGCCTGGGTTGTAGGCCAGGTCCCAGCAGGGTACATATGAGAGGCAACCACACACTGATGTTTCTCTCCCACTCTTTCTCCTTCCCTTCCCCTCTCTCTAAAAATAAATAAATTAAATACTTTTTTTAAAAAAGAACAACTTCTGCACTGGCTGGGTGGCTCAGTTGATTGTGGCATCATCTAGTACACCAAAAGGAATGCGGAGTCTATTCTCAGGGTCAGGGCACATGCATTGGTTGTGGGTTCGAGCTCCAGTCAGGGTGTATATGGGAGCCAACCAATTGATATTTCTCTCTCTCTCTCTTTCTTGCTCTCTCTTCCCCTCCACCCCTTGCTTCCTCACTCTCTAAAAAAATCAACAAACATATCTCAAATGAGGTTTAAATTCTTTAAGTATTAACGACTTCCCATTACATTATCAAGGCTGATCGTCATCTTGCTTGCCTCGCAGTTCCAACCTCATCTCTCTCTCAACACTCCTTTCTCCCGCATACATCTCTGGGAACATGTTTGCAGCACACTCCACAATCCTGTTTCCAATTATTGGTTGTGTAATTTATTGATAAAGCAAAGCCAAATATGAGTAAGAAGAAAAGCCTAATTAGAAACGAAGCACTCAGTGTCCCAATAAGGAAAATTCCAGGGCTTCAAAAATAGAAAATCAGTGATGCATAGTTTAAAGGCTTTGTCACTGAAGAAGTAATCCCAGTGCTTAAGAAACCAGAAAATGGATTAAACAGATGGGGCAAAGTTATCAGCGGCAGAGAATGGGCACCTACTGAGAAATCAAAGGACTTAGAATCGAAGTGATTTTGGCACACATGAATATCAATTTGTGTCCTGAAGTGAATGCCATGGAAAATCTGTAAGGAAAGGAATATAAAATCAGCCACGAAGAGAGAACAACAAAACAGGTTATGGGCTGACACAGAAATGCGGGAACCCTTTCTTTTATTAATTTGCCAATTCGGTGAAATAGTTCATTTGTATGACTTTTTTTCTTTATTGAATTCCCTACTTGAGTGAGTCAACAAAAACAGTGACTTTTAGTAGAGTTTAGATTTGGCTTCATTCTGATAAACTTGCCCTTAAATATACAGAAAACCATTTTTTAGTATACATATAACACAGAAACCACCTCAACGCCACATGTGTTTGCACATTCTTCTCTGCCCACACCTATCTGAACATGTTCCTAATTAGTTGACCCCCTACACTTAGATCACCCCATAGGAGAAAGAGCAAAGGTTCAGTTTGTTTACAAGTGTTTGAAAATGATAGGACTAAAAACTCAGTCTGGAGTGTCAATGAATTGCTGGGTAACCCTTACCAAATCACTTAGCATCTCTGTTTTCTAATTACAGTGTCGCACAACGAAGCGAGCTGCACGTACACACCACACTCTTGAGCACTGACAACCAACAGACTTAGCAGGAAAGAGAGAACTTTCCTGCAAGAAAGAGAGAACTAGAAGCAAAAGCAAAACACAGCTTCTGAGTGATGGCGTAACAAGTTGCTATTTATACACCATCCTCCGTCTGCTGATGTGAACTAGGGGTCTTTCCCTGCCAAAGAATAACTTTAGGGAATGAGCTTCCTGGTGAGCTCACAGCTTAACACTGCTTGTCTCACCATCTTGAGTCAGCAGTGGATAATGCCGTGCAGAATAAACTAATTTTAGTCATCTGTGGGATCCTTGTAAACACTCCATGGTGACTCTTTGAAAAGTCAGTGTGAATTTGCTATCTCGGCTTCATTTCCTGCTCCCAATAATCCACTAGGGGTATTTTTAGGTGATGACGTCTTATAGGACTTGACTGGGTGAGTTTCTCTGTTTCAGAGCTGACATTTGAAAGTTCTGCGGCAGATGCCAAAGTCAGAAGGCCTTCTGGTTAGGTGAACTAGAAAATTGACTGACAAATATGGCAACAAAGGACATGGACACGTATGTGAGTGTCCTATACATGCTGTAGGAAAAGTGCTGCCCGCCTCACTCTCATTTTTTTTTTTTAGAGTGAAAGTAACGTTCTTCCAATTCATTGTTTCTGTCTCTTTCAGGCTGCTTGTGGAAGAGCAGCCTGAAAGGGACTGTCACTTAATAAAACACTTTACACTGAAATAATTTCTGGCCACCCACATAGCTCAGACAGGTACTAATGAGACGGGCAGGGATGGGAAGCACAGCTGAGTGGCATTCAGGTCTCAGGAAATGCTGTCTGCTGTTGAGCGACGTGTCTGCACCTTGACATCTCAGAGGCTAGGTGTTGCTGGTGCCACAGGACTGCAGCTGCGATTTCAGACACTCTACACAGTGTCCCCAAAGAGCCAGTCCAAGGGGATTTTCTTGTGAGTTCTACAGGGATTGGTACTGATCACTTCTGTTCCTTCGACAAACATTTCTGGATCATGCACCACCGTAGGTGCTCCTCACTCTCATTTCAGCCCCATTTTCAGTGAGCCACAGCCCACAGCTGCGTGGAGGGAGAGATGAGGAGAGAACAGTGCTTATCCCTGAAGCTGACAGTGTGCCCTCCAGCTACAGACTGTACATTTGGGGTGTGAAATGACCCCTCAGCTTCTTAATCATCTCCCCATTCTGTGAGGCATCCCTGGGCCGTGAGTCACACTTCATTGGCAAATGCATGCTGAGTGTAGAGCACTTGTAATCTGTTCAGCATCTCATGGGTCACCAAGAAAAAATAGGGCCTGAGGACAAACTCCACTGGTCAGGTCACCCAGATCCACGCAGGTCATCACCGCTGATACCCCTTGGTCAAGAACTCATTTCCTGGAGTGAGAATTATGTGTAAAACTTTGCACCAGGGCTTTGTGATTCCAAGAAAGATATTGAGTTTGGCTGTATTTATCAAGGAGCGTGGAAACCAAGAGAAGGGGTTGAGTAAGAAAGAGGGCGTCGGGAGAATTCACTGAGGCCATCGGTGAATCCCCCATAAGCCGGGAAGAATGTGAAGGGACCCAGTCATACAAGAAAAAAGTTTCTTTTTTGAATCCTCGCCCAGTGATACATTTATTGATTTTAGAGAGAGAGGAAGGGGGAGAGAGGGAAGAAACATGAATGTGAGAGAGGCATCCATTCATTGCCTCCCCACATGCCCCAACCAGGGGTGGAACCCTCAGCTCTGGTATGTGCCCTGACTGGGAATCAAACCTGCAAACTTTTGGTTTGATTGGGACGATGCCCCAGTGAACTGAGCCACCCTGCCAGGGCAAAAGTGTTTTTGGTTTGTCTTCTTGAAAACCTGCAACCCTGGGATGTTTGATATCAGTATTTCTTGGTCTAAGCAGGGGTGTCCAGCTCTAGGCCTGTGGGGTGCGTGTGGCCCAGGATCACTGTGAATGTGGCCCAGCACAAAACTGTGAATGTACTTAACTTTTTTTGGCTCATCAGTTTTTGTTAGTGTTTGTGTATTTAATGTGTGGCCCAAGACAACTCGTTGTCCAGTATAGCCCAGAAACGCCAAAAGGTGGGACGCCCCTGGAAGGAGAGAACAGAACTTAGAACTTAAATGAAGTGTATGAGGAGCAAAGGGAGGAGGATGGGAGGGAGGGAGGGAGGGAGGGAGGGAGGGAGGGAGGGAGGGAGGGAGGGAGGGAGGAGGCAGAATCGGAAATAGCAAGAGGGAAAAAGACGGAAATGAATTGTCCCGTAATTATTTTTATAAGAAAGGCAGCAAATAAGAGTCCCAGTGTAGAATTTCTATTTCTTGAATTTTTAAAAAATTAACTTTGAGACTCTCAGATTTGGGGGGGCCAAGACTTTGCTATAGGAAACTTCATTTAAATTCCTCTTTCCAAAGAAAATACCCATCATACCAAGATATACAATCTCTGTGTGGCTTTGCTGTGCTGCTGGAAACTCGGCCCCACTGATTGATTCTTCTTTACCGAAAATCCCAAGTGTCCTCATTTAGCCCTCTAAAAGCAAGTGTGGTGGACTCCCGATTGAGAACCGCAAGTCTTTCAGAGCAGAGAGGCAGCTGCCGCCGTCTGGCCCATCGGCTAGTACAAGGCGTGTGCTATGCTATCCGTGAACCATGAAGGCAGGCAGCGCTCCTGCAGGATCTTAAGAAACCAGCCTTTTCAGGGACATTGTGTTAAGGAATGTCTGGAATGTTTTTAGTACTGAGAGTTCTCGGGAAAGCCTATATGGCCCATGATGAAGAATGGGCAAAACAGTAACACAAAGTTCAGCAGGTCAGATCAGAGAGAGCTCAGAGGACCGAAATCATTAAGATGAGGGATATGATCGTCTCTTCTCAACCTTTAAATGAAGCCCAGAATGTTTTTGGATTCCAACTGCATCACACAGACCATCTTCTATAGCCTCAAGCTAATGAGAGGGTAGGTGCTAAATAGGCTTCACACTAAACAAGTAGCAACTACCTGTGCTTTTTTTCATACTGGCCCTTAGCTTAGTATATGAATGAGTGAACACTGTTAAAGTATCAGCATAACTGGGCCTTTGATTTTACATTATTAAAAATGGTTGGTTATTCATAGAATCAGGAAATTCTATTTCTAATTATATTTTAAAGGCTTTAAATATATTTAAAGGTTTCTAAAATTCTACTTATAGGTAGATGTCTGTATGCCCATATATATACACATATATGAATACATTCTGCCTGAATGCCTCTTTTGTTTATTATAACTGTGAATTTGCTAAGGCTGAAGACACTGCTTTAGTAAATATATTTAGTATTTAAAAATCACAGTTAGGGTGTAGAGTGACATTGTCACTTTATTTTTTACCTTGAACTTTGAATATTCTCCATTTTAGGATTTCTCAGACTTTTTGTCTGTATTGTACAGTAAGAAATACATTTAGAATTTAAAAATTTTGATTCAGTATGCTCACATGTATACATTGATATGCTCTTTATGTGGATATATAAGTATGTGCAAATATATATATGAAACAAATACATGTGTAAGTATATATCTATATATATGCAACAAAATTTCATGAAACAAAACCTACCCTTACAAAGTATGATGATACACTCTGGGCTTTGCTATTCTGTTTCTTCATTTGTATAAAATATCAATCATGACAATTTTTGTACTCATTAATGGGTCTTGAACTGGAGTTTGAGAAACACTATTCTACCTGGCCCTTTAAGTAACCTCAAAATGCTATTTAAAAAATAAAATGTTATAATTCAATAATATGGGTACTCATTTGAAATTATTCAAGGAAATAAATGAATGCTAATAAAAGGACCCTGCGTCTTTTCCTAAGCTAAATTATGACCATTTTTATGTTATCTTACACTGGAGAATAGTAATTTTTTAAAAAATGAGACTAGTCATGTAACCCTTTCTTCTTTTTAAGTAACATTTTCCACAATCTTTCCAACTTAAAAATTAAGCTACCTCCTTTCTTTTGGCTTCCCACTCTCCATCCCCAATTTTTTTTAAAGAAAAGATAATAATACTTATTAGAATGCAACATTAAGAGTGAGAGTCTGGGTTTTTCCGGAACAGACCCAGCTCACTTCAGAGTCACAAAACGGGCTGCGCGCAGCATGCGAGCAAACGCAGAGTCAGGCCCTGGGCCCTCGGCTCCTTGGGACTGAGCAATAAATTTAACTTTTGAAGAGAAGATCAGACACTAATTACCCAAAAGGGTAATTATTACAGACACTGTGTGGTGGCTCCAGCTGGGAAAATGGAGAATCATCCTGCAGTGTGAACAAGGATTCCCTAACACTGAGGTCTTCTACCTGATAAATCTGACCGGTGGGTCAGAACCCAGTAAGCTGAACACACTGAGAAGACTAATTTTGAAGTAGACTGTGTATTCCACCTTAATAGATCTGCTTTGTAAATTTAGATTTTTGCATGTTGAGTAAATGGAAATGGGCCCTCCTCATACTTTTTCTTGATGCTGCCTACAGAGCTGACAGGTTGCTGTTGAGAGAAGTGTTTTAAAGCACTAAACATCACTGCGTGCATTCTCTGGGTGGCGAAACAGACCCTATTGATAAGAACGACCCTCCGAGAACTGTCTTCGGGACTGGACCCCTCCTTTGGCAGGCGGGGTAAGAACGCTGTACATACTTCTTCCCACACAGAGCAGGAAACTTGACTACACAACTCTCAACATGCCCTCCTGTTCCCCACCCGCACCGGACTTCCTTCACACAGCCTCCCCTGACTCACCCACCCTGGTGCTCACCACGCCCAACCCCGGTGCCTACTGACCTTTGCCTTCCTCCCGAGACTCTGAATTGCAGAGGGCAGACAGGCAGGCAGGCAGGGTGCATAGCTCGTCCACTGCTGCATCCCCCAACTAACACAGTGAACTGGGCACATTTCGGGGACACTCCATAATGGTGCACTAGGGGAAAGAATACATGAGTGAGTGAATTTTAATTAATTATTCACTTTCACTTGTAATGCCCTTGGAGAGGCAGCCATCTCCATGTACCTTGGCCTGGTAGGAAGCAAGTGCCAAGCACTGCTCAGGCACATCCCCCACAACACCCACCCCCAAAGCTACCAGGGAGCTCACGTCCATGGGGCCTTCGGGAGCACGCGATTCCAGCTTCAGCTCCATGGGAGCAGCCCTGGGAGTCTCAGAGTGGGTGGAAACCGCTGACCCAGGCACCTGGAAAACCCAGAAGCATTGGAGGTAGTGGCATCCAGGGTCTAAAAGGACAGTTCAGATGTCATCTCTTCTTTAGTAGTACTTTCCTCCAAATGTTTTGCAGCTTGTATTTCATTGCTAAAATGAGAGGAACAAAGGTAATGTTTTACAGGGATCTTGCCATGGTCAGTATCGTCCATGGTATATAAAAAGCTTTTCATTGATATTTGTTAAATGAAGACACAAAACAGGAGAACCCAGTCACTACACATAAATTGCCCTCCTTCAGGTGTTGTCAGGGAGACATACTCGAACCGTGTGGACACAGGTGGCATTTGTAGTCACTGTCCTATTAGATTGAACCATAGGATATTGTCATTTTAGTAGGCCCAAACCGGTCAAATATCAGCATGCCATATAGTTCAGCCTGATAAAGGTTTACATGTGCCACCTTATTGCTAGAAACAAGTCAAGCCTGAATCCTGCTGATAATAAGAAAGCTGGAGTGGTGTTAGCAGGCCACTAACAACCTTTGGGGAGAACTAAGGACTGAAACGGACAGAAGGATGCACAGCTGCTCTAGGTCAGTTCTTCCAAAGTGTGCGTCTAAGGCATTCCGGTTCCTATGACATTTTATGAGGAAAGAAGAAAATGACTGATTTAGGAAATGCTGCAAATAATATTCCTTTCCTAAAATTTCAAAATCAGTATTAAAGTATCATGTATCAAAGAACCTGAATGTCTTTACCACAGTAAAGAAAGCCACTTAACTATGTTTCATCCAGGACATTCTAAATTTATTTGACGAGTGAAGCCTTATTTGAAGACTTCTAGATGCCTATTATCACAGTTAACCTTTTGGGATCACGGTTCTGTCCTATGACCCAGGCCTCTCCCAATCCTCAAGCTCCTTAGGCTTGAACCCACCCTGCATTCTACCCTGTAAAAAACACAGAGCCCACTAGCAGAAGTCCATTTCAATTCTCTTCACTGTTTCTGAACAATGGGGAAAAGGAGCTCAGATCTTCCACATGTCTGCATACAAGTTGCTTTCTACTGATTTTATACTCAGTTTGTGTATGTCTCATAATGTCATCAATCCAGCTTTTAGGTATTGCAGTGAGTAATCTTAATAGAAACTTGGGAATAATAATACCTACCATTCACTGTATACCTACCATGTACTTTTCACACTACAACATGCTTTACATTTTCAATATCTCTGGTGTGCATCACATTGCTCACGACGAGCTAAAAATTAGGTTTTTTTGCCCCCATTTTATAGATAATCTTTAGTGTCTCAAAGGTGTTAAGTTTTGTGGCCCAAAGTCCACAGCTTGGTTTCAATGACCCTGCTCCTATGCTCCCTGCATGACATTAATAAGAGTTACACTTATATAGTACTTACTATGAGTCAGGCACCAAGTTTTCACTTATTTAACTCATAATAAGCCAAAAAAAGGTACCATTCTACAACGGTACAAAAAAGGTATCCCCACTTTACAACTGAGGAAACCAGCTGAAAAAGTTAACCAATCTGCTGGAAGTCACACAGCTGGGAAGAGGCAGGGCTGGAATTCAGACTAAGGCCAGTTACTTATCGGTTGTACAGTAAAGAGAGCCATTTACCCACAATTCACCCAGGACTTTCCAAACTTGTTTGCCTAGAGGATTATTATTGGTAGGTCATGACTATTACTACAGATAACAATTTGGGAGACACAGTTTGGGAATCACAGGACCAGCAACCTCCCTTTGATCCACACATGTGTAGCCTCTCCCAGTCCAGAGCCCATGACCTCTGCTGGTGTGCTCTCCCTGCCTGCTGGGGACCCGGGGTCTGCATAGCTCATTAATGAAGCCCCCCAGCTTCAGAACTAGAAGTCAGAAACTGTTCATCTGTGCTCTTTATTCTCTTTAAAATCAGTAGAATTTGGCCAAATTCAACATAGCATATTCATAAAGATTAATGCAAAATATATTATATTAGAATATAAAGTGACTTTTACCTCCAATGCCCATGTAGAAAAAAACAACCTTTTGTGCTTTGAGTAACTAATAATAATACCAAAAGCCTTGAGGTCTCTGAGGGTCCTGAAACCACAAAGTAGAGTATGAATACCAAATAATTCTAGGAAGGTTGTATAAAAGAACTAAGTTCAACATGGCACCTTTAATTTCACCACTATTGGGGAAGATAAGATCTAACATTTATTGGATGTTTATTATAATCCAGGCACTCTGTCATGTGCTCCCATAGATTATATTATTTCACAAAATTTTTATATGACAGTTATTCCCATTCTATAGAAGCAAAACACAAAGAACTATGAGTTTAAGGAACTTTCCCAAGATCACACAGCTATGTAGCAAGTGGTGGAGCTAAGATATGAAGGGAGAACCTAGTTTTTAAATGTCTCCAGCCATTTTAAATGCTAACTCTGGGGTGCGCAAAGCAAGGTTGAGTACGAGCCCCCAGGTTCTAACAAAGTGATCATTTGCTTTTTGCAAGCCCTATATTAAAAGGTACATGACATCTACCAAATAGTTACCCTTGGGGAACCTTCAAAATCTGTCAGCTGGAAATAAGAGTCCAGATGGGGAAACTCTAAAGCCTTTAATTGCTCCAAGATGATATGTTGGTTTGGCAGATCTGGCTCATCTTGAAAGGAGGTTTTTTTTAAAGATATAACTGAATAATATGACATTAAGAAACATGACTCGAGTTCTCATGCTTATAAAATCATAGTTGTCATTTCTAAGTTTCCCGAAGTCTGTTTTGCAATCTTTTGCTAAGTTGGAGAAAACCAATACTGTACATACTTCGGTACATTCTGCACTTTCTTCCCTTCACCAGTGAATCTCTCAGGGTTTTCAGTATTTCTGGTTACTCAAATCACTCCAAAAAAAGATTGATTTTCTCTATAAGGACATTAGAGGAAGAAATCATTTTATATTCTAAAAATAATTTACTTTACAAATGTGCCACATGGATTTGGTCACTTTACAAAACTTCAAGAGAGAATTAAGACTGCCTTAAGAAGTGCTGCAAAACCTAAAATAACTAGAAACTCAAGCAATTTATTGTTTTCATTAAAACTACAGGTGGATTTTCAAGGAGGTAAGAGATAAAAACAGAAGATGATCATTTAGTGAGGCATAGTGGTGACCTTGAGAATGTGTATATAAAGAAATACTCCAAGTAAAAACAAATCATAGAACCAATGGTGATGGGAGGTAGTATAACACATGTATGAGGAAAGGCTCTGCTCCCCACAGCCTGGGCTCACTCGTTAGGGATGTGACCTTAGGGATGTGACCGTGTCCTCCCCAACCTGTTTCCTTTCTATTTAAATGAGGCGGTTCCTAAGAACTACCTCATAAGGTCGCTTACGGTGAAAATGAAATAAGACAATTTATAAAAAGACCTTAGGACAATGTCTGGTAACCGCTTGATAAATGTTAGCCATTGAAAGCAGAAAATGTCATTATCACTGCAGCACATGTGAAAGGGTGTGGAAAAAGTAAGTTAAGCCAAGTTAAAACAAAACAAGGGCCCTGGCTGATACGGTGCAGTCGGTGGGGGCGCTGCCCTGAGCTAAAGCACTGTGGGTTTCACTCCAGAGCAGGGCACATGCCCAGGCTGCGGGTCCAATCGCTGCCAGGGCACGTAAGGTGCTCGATCTGGGAGCGTATGCCAGGCAGCACGTCGATGTTTCTCTCTCATATCGATGTTTCTCTTTCTCTCTCCCTTTCTTCATTCCTCTCTCTCCAGGAGCAAGTTAAAAAAATGTCCTCAGGTGAGGATGAAAAAAAAGTCTTTAGGTGGGGAATAAAAAAAATTTAAACAAAAAACAAAACAACAAATAAACAAGATAATTATAGGTTTACTGCTGAGACCTAAATAATAGGATTGATGCTGTAGGTGTTTAGTAAATATTGAATGAATGAATGAATTAAATCAATCAGTGAATTGGTGAATGAATCAATGAGTGGAATCACAGAAAGAAAACCTTACTTTCTGCAAAGCTTAATTCTTTGCCTTATTCAGGTCCCTTTATTCTCTCTAATCCACCAAAAAAGTGAAAGTTACCCCCCATAATTCTGAAGAGTCTCTTTAGTCCTCATGCAGCATCTCAGTTCAGTGCAGTAACCTCAAACGTCCTCCAAAACTAGACTAAAATATGCACGAGGACACAACAAACTTATAAACAAAAACCTGTGACTTTAAGTGACTGCAACATCATGACAAGGGAACAAGATACTAAAAAATAAAGTAATATTTAACACTTATTTCTATCTAAATAGTGTGATTTGAAATGTGTAAATGTTCTGTGTGTGGGAGGAGGAAATATAAATATAAACAAATAACTATATATATTGCCAAAAGATAACTATAAAAGAAAAGAAATTGTATTGAGAAAGGGAGTGGAAAGAGAAAGTCAGGATATTGGTTATTTTCTGCCACTTACTCGGTGTCCCTTGGATTTAGTCATGTACCTTCAGAAATTACTTTTGGCTTCTTTCCAGTGTTAACCATGAACAAAATCACAAACACATTCAACAACAATATGTTCTTCTTGCGTAAATGTCTCTTCTAGGCCACATACATAATTAAAATCCTGTTGACTCAGGAATAATGTCTCAGAACTGAATGTCCAAACTGTGTAACTTGCTTCCTTTTCTAACCAGACAGCACAGCTGCCAAGAGCTTCTGGGCCCTCTGCCTCTTTTCTCCGTGTG